ACAAAAATATCTCTCCTTCCTGGATTGGATAATCAACAGATTAATTTAACCAGATTCTGTGCATGTCATTACCCAGTCTTCTAGTCCTAACAACAATCCCAATCTTTTCTTAACCTTACCCTAACGTGAAAATATTCCTAATCTAACTCGAACCAACCCTTATGTAGCTCCCATTACGTTAATAGACCTTAACCCTCCTTAGCCTAAATTTAAACGATATCTTTCCCAAACATAACCTGGAACTTCCCAGGTATGCCATTCAGTGACGTTACACTTCGTAAGGATATTCTATTCATGATTGGAATATTATTAACCAGCTCCCACTGACATGCTCACTCAGCGTTTCAAATTCACTAGTCTGTCGCTACTAACTGGTGCCTAAAGTGTAACTTGGCCTCCCTAACAAATAAGCTCACTTTCCATTGGTTCGTATGAAAAATGACAAAGTTTGGGGAATATATTTCTCCACATACTGCCCAGCTTTATTTTATAACTCTGAAAAATTAGCAGATACTTTACGATACATCTTTGAACACTCAATAATGACATACTTTGTCACTTTATCCATTCAAATTTCCGATTACTATGGCATGATATTGGTGACTTTTTCCCTGGAAGCCAAGTAATTAAATTATTTGAATGTTCACTGTATATTCTGTTTAAGGATTGTTTTCGACTGCATATAGTTCAAGCCAATTAACAAACAAGACGGTGCCACATCACCCTGTGTATTGTGTTGGCTTTTCTGTGCTGAAATTTTTTGAATTGGAAGATTCGCAGATGAGCTGTAGGCTTTTTACATATGACAGATACCTAATAATTGGTCAGCTGCCTGCTTAAACCTTGGGCTACCAGAATTTTACGTCACTTATTTTGCATCTGACTACTTGGATTTATGTTGTTTTAATTATTCCATTTTTGTGTCCAAATCGTATTAGTTACTCTCGCGATTATTTAAAATGTTTTCAACCGGATGAATTACGAGTATATAATAACCTTAAGAAAGAGCATCCTGGTGGATGGCAAAGATCCTTAAAGTGTACTCCAATGCATCAGATGACTGTTCCTGTGATTATGAGCACAAATTACAGGTCATTATCGAACAAGATTAATTACTTAGATGCTCTATTATGTCCAAATATTTACCGTAATACAGGTGTAATAACGCTTCAAGAAACTTGGCTGCATGACTCATATGATGACAATTTAATCTTACTGAATGGTTTCAGTATGCACAGACAAGACCGAAGTAGTTCAAGGAAAAAAGCTAGGTGATGGTGTTGCTACCTTCATCAATTCTCAGTGGTCTGTTGACAGCAACGTCTGTTTTAAATTCTCAAATGATAATAACGACTGTATAACTGTCAAATGTCGACCTAAACACCTATCTAAATACAAATTCATTTATATCACGAATATTTATATCACACCTTGTTGTAGCACCTCAGAATTATCTGTATTTCCTGATGCATTCACCATTTTCGCTCCCGCCTCTTTTGGTAACTCCCTGTCCATAGTGACAGGTGATTTTAATTCATGTGACTGCAGCTTTCTCACAGTGATAGGTCATGAAAATGTTGTTAACTTTCCCTCCAGAGTGCATAATTCTCTTGAGCTTGTATTTATAAATGACTCCGGAATATACGAAGCTCGTAAAAGAGCTCCACTGTTTAACTCAGATCATTGTATTGTACGCGTTTTACCTAAATTTTATGGAAAGTTACACAAGAGAACTTTTTCTCACCTTTCCAAAAAAACTGTACATGGATGTTACTCTATGGAGAATGTTCAGAATCTCAGAAGTATGCTCAAAGACACAAGGTGGGGCCTGTTTAATGAAGACTCTCTTGATGACACAATCTCTAATATTACATGTTATCTCCAATTGTGTCTTGACACCTGTTGTCCCAGAGAAACGCTCTTCATCAGATTTTACCGTTTCTCCTCCCCTCAACTTAAAAAGCTTCGCAGACAAAAAGAAAAGTTATATAAAACGAAGGGTAATACTGGTTTGAAAAGAATTACCATCCTAATAAATTGTGAAATGCACAGGTTGAATTCAATTTACAACCAAAAGTTTATGTCCTGTAAAAATGCGTCTAATATATATGGAAACTTTTCAAAGAAATTACTGTTGTAAGCAGATGAACAGTATTCCTTATTCCCTTGATGTTTGCACACTAAACAATTCTTTTATACATTCTCCCACAAATGCCAAACTTTCTAGTGTTACAAGTGTTAATGAAACCTGCTTCCCTGGTTTTAATACAAATGAAGTTCTAAAATGTCTCCAGTCTCTGAATCCTTCTTGTAGCCTGGGACCAGACGGTTTGCCCGGCCTTATTCTTAAAAAGTGTGCAGATATCCTGTGTTATCCTCTCATGGACATATTTAACGAATATTTTTGCAATAATGTCGTGCCAGCTGTTTGGAAGGACATTAAAATTGTACCTATACCTAAGTCATCTACTGGAACATGTTTTAAATTTAGACCCATTGCTATTACTTCCCCTTTTCTAAAAGCTATGGAAAAGTTCCTTTTAATTAATCTTTAACCTTCACTTAAAGCCTTCAACGATCCTAAACAATTCGCTTATAAATACAGTAGAAGTACTCTAGATGCGGCTGCAGTCTTGTATCATAACATTGTCTCCAGTTTAGATATAGGGGGCTTAATTTGTTCGCTGCACCTTCCTAGATTGCATATCTTCTTTCGACTTAGTACCTAGGGACATTTTGTAAAACAAGCTTGCTGAAACTCAAACTGACTGTTGGGTTGTCAAATCGCTCCATTCTTATTTCTCAGGAGGAAAGCAGTACAGTGTATGTAAGAGGAAATTCGTCCACTTCATTGCTTACTGAGGCTGGTGTCCCTCAATACGATGCTCTTTCTTTTTTTCTTTTTTCTTTCTTCTTGCATGACTTGCCTCACTCTGGTGAAATGAACTTTGCTGAGTATGCCGATGATCTAACTATTTCAATGTATGTTGACTCCCAGCTAGACTGTAATAAGATTAACAGCTTTCTATCAGGAATTAGCGAATGGTCTTCGTCTGATGGCCTTCAAATAAATCATTCCAAATGTCAGACTGGTAATTTCAGTTTCCGATGTAAATGAAAGTTGTAGTTGTAGGCTTCTTACATATGAAAGATATTTGATAAGTGGTCAGCAAAGTGGTGCAACACTTTCAATCGATCTGAGACATCATAGTTCAAATTTCTCAGAAGGATAATTCAACAGCACAAGCTCATAGAATTATTCAGTGTAAGTTGTGTTATGGATCGACGTCAGTTCGATAACCTCTGAAGATCGACAGGGCACTGGTTCACTCTTTCGTTCTTATTAAGGGGTACTCAATTGTATTTGGCCGTTATCTGAAGAAGTCTGAGATCCTTACATATCCAGAAGCTGAATATCACTCCCTTGCTATTTGGCGGCTACATGATCATGGTTCTAAATTTGTAGTGGTAAACTGTGACCAGCAGGATATGAAGTGGGCACCCATAAATCGCCATGAATAGCAATAGTGCTGTACGGTAACCTGTCTGAAGTCGACATTCATGCGTCACTGTGCTCCAATCCAGAAGCTAAATAAAAGTCACATTGAGCGAGGAGTTATTCATTGCAACGATATCATTCTCAAGCCAAACAATTGCATGAACATACATATACATACACAATTTCCTCAGAAACAGATGGAATATTTCCAGAGACGTGTCATTAAAATCTTACCAAATTATTGAGAAATAAAATTGATCAAACCGCAGAAATAATGGAGACTATTCACGTTTTAAACTCTGAACTCTGCTATCAAAAGAAGTTTGTTCAGTCATTAAATCTACAACGGACCTGATCTATGTTAACACTGGGTACGTAAGTTTTGATGACTTTCTTTTCTAATTGCTTTTTTTCTTCTTCTCTCATCTCCTATTCAATTTCTGTCCCTTATTACGACTATTGTTATCTTGACTCTCAATAAACTTTAATTGGATCCTACTCACTCTTGTCTACTGTATTACGTTACTGAATTCACTAAGGTTTATCTCAGATTCTACCCGATTAACGCTTCCTCAATCACGTAATTTGTTACCTGACATTCACAGTTCCGATGACAGACTTTTTGAAATGTCTCTTCTGTTGCTGATAAATTTTCCTCTGTATACATGCAGTTGTACAGGTTGAAAATGATATCGCCGTAAAGAGTAACTCTCTGCTGAAGGTGTTTCACATTATTTGACTCAAATGACAAACGTGCTTCCCTTGTACCTCCGCTCAATCTCCTTTAGGATTCAGTGCTATTGAAGAGTCGCAAAATCTATTTGGTAAAGTCAGCTGAATCCCTATTAACGCTCAGTATGAGTATAGACTACTTACTGTAACTGACTTTCACACTAAATCATTCATTCATTCTTGAACTCAACTTAATAATTGTGGACGTTTATTAGTGTTACGTAAGAGATATTTCAAATATTGTTCAATCTTTATTAATAAAACCTTCAGTGATATTTGTGAATAAAATATTTACAGTGAAATAGACATTAACGTAATCAAAACTTGAGATTTATCAAGGGGGGCACTTTCTGAAAATATGAGGAGTAAATCCAATTGAAGATAAATGGTGATTAGCATTTATAGTGTAAATACATAAATCTCTTCCCAAAAATACAACAGTTGAGGTAATAAACACTCTTTCTAAATGAAATCTTGACATCTAACTCTTAGTACATTGAGACTTACCGAAACATGAGATGAAAATAAGTAATTCTACTTGTAAATTTGTTAAAGGACATACTGATAATGACAACAAATAAGTAAGCAGATTATAACGGAACAGAATCTATACTACAATCCTATTTATGCATATTGAGGAGGTATTTAAAAAATGCCACTTTGGTGCACACATTCAAGTATGGTGAATGCAGACATATATATATGTGGACTGTTGTTATCAAAAATGTACACACTAAATGTAATCGAAATAATCGTGAAATCTGATGAATTACAGAGATTTTTTGAAAAATTTGAACCATATAAATAACAGCATAGTGTGTATATCTTGTCGTATAGTCACAGCACCGAACATAAGAACATAACTAGTAATTGATAAAGTGGTCCAATGTAGAATTGACAATAAATTAAAGAGATTGTCATTCCAATTACAATTTTGACTAGCCGTTAGAAAACAACAGTATTTGCTATATACTCTACCGAATACAAACAACGATAATAAGGTGTAGAGGTATAAGAGTGCACAGATTAACATCATTTTCGCTACAGTTATCCTAGCTGATGTATTATAAACAATCAATTTCCCAGAGCCACGACGTAAACTACTAATCAACTGATTATTCCTCTGTTTAATTGAAGAGGCAGACGTCAGTGAAGCACGAGTTGTTCTACTTTTATTTGAGGTAGATGGATTGTCCACAGTCTTAATTCTGGTTGAATTATTGAAACGAGAGGGTGCGGTTGATCTTGACTTCATTTTCTTCAATTTCCATTTTACAAGAACAGTTATCATGACTATAGTGGATATTGTTGTAGTCAATACAGGTATGATTAGGGTAAATAGAAATTTTATTAAATTCACCATAGGATTATGATAGAATTCATAGCAAACATGTTGAGTAGGTATTAATAAGAAAATATTTGTAGCAACACTAATTGTATAAGCAAATACAATCATCGATAAAGCTGGTCCAAACGATGAATGACTCATACTGTAATATTTTCTAGGAAATAGTGTTATATAACAACGTTCAATGCATAGAAAGACAAAATGCCATCCAGATAGATCACAAGTTGTAAATGAAAGAAATATCTGTATTCTACAGGACCATTCACTGAACAATAAGCGTAAATCATCACCAGTTATCGAGAGATAAATTAATCTCATCAAATCTGTACAACAACCTAAAATGTAGGCGATTTCCATTGAAAATATAATCAGTTGTGTTGACATTCTCAATGAACAGACGGGCCATACTAATTTCTGTTGAGATATAATATCTCTATTCGGTTGTCTGACATTTACTCCATTTTCATTTACTTGCACTTCTCGACGTCTTTCAGTGGGACGATTATTATTATGATTATTATTTAGATTTTGATTTTTAGTTCTATATTTCAATTTACGATTGATACGCCATCCCAGTAAATAAGTAATCCATAAAGTCGCTGAAATAATATGTGAAAATATAGTAATTATGCCTATAATTCCAATTATGCTCCTGATAAATTGATTACCCTGACACATGGATTAACGTGTGTATCAAAGTATTATTATTTGGATTTTGTTTGTGTTCGCTCCTTGTTTTAAGACCTTTTCACTCTTCCCTTCTCTCCGAACCACTAATCATCATTACAAAATGATGTTGTGAAACTGTCTGTTATAATGACAGTTAAACTAGTCATCTGATTTTTATAGTGTTCTCAGTTATCTACGATTATGAGCATTGAGAAATTCAACCTGTCTTCTATTACATTGGAAGACAGATTTGAAAGAGGATTGGATAAGAATTTGAGGCAAAAGAAATAATTCAACTAAATCTTATACATGTTATATAGTGAAACATATCTCTTTGTTTAGCTTCAAAACGCGCACACCCACACATATATATTAATTCAATGAATAAGTATATATTGTGAGTGGTTGTCAACATAGTGAGTCATCATTTGGTTTAAAAGAGAATATGTCTTACAGATGAGCTCTGTTATAGTAGTAGTTTCCTTTAAGTTGTTTTCAAAATTAGGAAGGTATCCCATGGATATGTGGATGGAATATGTGAAGAATTTATTTATTTTATATTTTATTTTGATTACAGCTTGATGCCACACCATATTCTCATTACAAGTATGGAATCTTCAGCATGGATATCGGTAGCCCAAATTTTGCAGGCCGACCATAGATATCAGGTGTGCGTCGGCAGCGGATCGAACCCCGGACCATGTGCATGGTCGCTGACAGCCCTAACCACTGTGCCAGAAAAGGGAGCAAATACACACACTTCATGTACATAAACATGTTTCTTGAAAATGTAGGTTGGTTAAGTTACTCTAAATCAAGAGAAGATATGAAATCACCGAAAATACGCATTGAGTCATAGAGAAAATAAAAAACAATTTGAATAAGCAACAACTAAGCTGTACATTCGTGTATTTATATTAGGTGGGTGAGAAAGTTCCAGAATTATTCACGGTCAAAGGTTAAATTATTAAAATTACTAAGTGTAATAAGCAGAAGATAGGAAGTGGTACTATTCTAGAAACGTTTCATGTCAAAGGTCAGATTAAAATTTACAATATGCAATAATCTGGAAAATGGTGATAGATAGACGTAGTAAGTTATATTGAAGTATTGCTTTTCACCCTACTAGTCAGGTGCAGCAGGTCGAATGTGATGACATATCCTCGCCGAAGTCATTGGCTAGCGGTCACGCTATGTCGTGAATTGGCAGAAGTTGGAATTCATGCGCTGGCCATTGGGTAGCGTGCCAGAGGCTTAATGGTCTACGAGCCATCTCGCATTGTAACCAGAAGGTTCTGTATTTGAACCCAGACGGTGGTTGCGTACTGATTAACAGTCTTAAACTAGGCTGGCGAAACAGCTGTCAAATACTCCATGTACGTTTTCCAATGGTTTTCTAACCGATATCAGCTGATGAGGAAATCCCGTAAACAAATAATAGGGTACAGTTACTCAGAAAAGGCTTTGGAAGTAATAATATAAGTTGTAAATTGCCTAGTTTTCAATGACACAAAGGAAGAAAGGGTTAGAAATTCGATAAGGTTATAGGTAGTTGAATGTCGATTTAGCAAGTGTGAAGAGGGTGTGAAAATGTACAACAGGAACATATGACATTGATAATACTGAATTAATTATTGAAGTAAAAGCAAACTAAAATGTGAAATTGAAAATTAATAAAAAATTAATAAGAACTGAAAATTAAATAAAAACTAATAAAACTTTTTCTACAGGGAAAGGCCAGTGAAGAGGTTTAGACCAAAGTAGAATAAGAGATTGAACAAACTTCTTCTGTATACAGAGATCAGAGTTGTATTGACAAATTTTCAGTGTCTTCGTCATACACAAAAGCCAAAACCTGACGCTCTTTATACTATTTGGCCTAACCTTGTAGATAATCTTGAAAGATGATTGGTGGAAATATGTGGCTTGAATTCACTAAGTGCTCGGGGATTGAGCTAGTAACTGCCTTGCATTGTCCTTTTGTTTACCATGCCGGATAATGTTCAGAGACTTTTTTGGAAAGTGTAAACTTTGTGTGACCAATATAACTTGCTCCAGACGAGCGGGTGAATTTATAAACACAGAGTGAAGTGGTCCAAAAGTGGCAGTTTATTCTTCATACATTCATTGATCATTTTTCGACAAAGCAGCAAAGAAGGCTTTTCTGAGTGATCTGTATAAACGATTCTTAAGGATCTCAGCTGCGGTATTAGCTTTAAATTCAACGTTCATAGATAGTAGTTTCTTTGGCATGGTCTGGGTTCTTTCACGCTTTTCCTTTGCTTTCATGTTTTTCTCGATGAATCTTGGAGGATATCCATTTTCTGTGAGAACTTGTCTGAGTCGCTGCAGAACATTCTCACGCATTTACTATAAATACACGAATGTACAGACTAGTTGATGACTTCGTCGAAAACAAAATTTGAAATGTTCGATATAGGTAGGTAAAAGATAGAGGAAGCTGCATAGAATTAGGTTGTGTAATATCCGTTGTCTGGAAATTACTGTCACTTTGAAATAGTGGACTTACTGGATATATTTAGAGAACTATGATCTGCTTTATTCCAAAAGATGGTACTTATAATACACAATGGAATTCCCAGCATTTGTCACAACATTGCATCTAATTTACTCAAAATATAAATAAAGTTAACCACAGGAACGTTTCGACATTTACAGTAGGAATAATGTCAAAAATGTGCAAACTGCAAAATGAGATTAATAATTCTAATGACAATAACAGTGGCTGTGTTTCAAACAGTATTTTCGATAAGGTTTGGAAGTTTTACCATGTTATACAATATTGAATTTAATGTTCTCTTGACATAGCATGGTGAGGTGGCAAACAAAAAGATAATAACAACTAATACAAAGCTTAAACGATGTTTACACCTTTAAGAAAATAAACAATAAAAGTGAGCGAATTATAAATTTAGGAAGAATTATAACAGTAAAAGTTATTGGTATAAGGGTGAAGAAAATTGTTTACTTACTGGTGGAAAGAAGGTCAGTTAGTTCACGCCTAACACTATTTTTATCACATAAAATACGTGCCAAATATGGTATAGCGGCATTTGTATACTTAGACGTGAGCGCATAAAGTCTTTTGAAAAGATTTCTTGTTTTACCTGAGGAAACACAAGGTGAAAGCTGAGGGTAAGTTAAGTGGATGCTCACAGTCTGACATAAATCTTTTAGGAAATTTGTTGCATGAAATCAAGTGCCTATCAATGACGATGTCATCGATACTGCTCAATGGGATACCACTCGCCCTACTGACAGTCTTCAAAGTCCTACGAAGTATGACATAGTCTTTTCTAAGCAATGCAGGAAAGAATAATGGTGGTAAAGAAGAATAGGTATAATGCATGACTTGACAAACTGTAAGAGGAGGGGCTGAGTAATGCCTGATTGCCTTAACTTCTTAATGTATGAAGTCAGACGAAACATTATTTTAGAAATCGCTAAGACATGGGAAGACCAGGATAGGTCATAGGAAATAACTTATCCAATATAATTAACGTAAGATTTGTTTTCTATATCACCATCATCAATTTTGCAAGGGCCATAGGAACCAACGGCTTCATTTAACTTTCTCTTACATTGAAAACTGAAATTAACAGTGTGACATTTGGAAGGATTGAGTTTGAGTCCATTAGACGTAGACCATTTGTTGACCCCTGATAGAAAGCCGTTTATCTTAGTACAGTCTAGCTTGAAGTTAACATTCATTGAAACAGTTAGGTCGTCCGCGTACTTAACAAAGTTGATTTCATCAGAGTGAGGCAAGTCATGCAAGAAGAAACAAAACAGAAAAGGAGAAAGAACAGCACATTGAGGGACACCAGCCTCAGGAAGCAATGAAGTGGACGACTTCCCCTTACATAGAGTGTACTACTTTCTTCCTGAGAAATAAGAATGCAACCATTTGACAACCCAACAGTCAATTTGAGTTTCAGCAAGCTAATTTAATAAAATATCCCTAGGTAGAGAGTGAAAAGCAGATGTGTAATCTAGGCAAGCGCAATGAACGAATCCAGCCTCTTTGTTTAAACACTAAAGCCCTGATAAGAAAAAATAATATCTAAATGAAGTGATGCAATTTTTTGTTTTCCACTGAATATGGTTGAATATTTGGAAAATTACAGGAAACTAATTGAAATATTACAAACAGTAGAATCAATCTATGAGTACATAGGTAAAAGTGAAAATTTTTCTTGAGAAAGGAAATGTGTTAACATAGCAGTTTCATGGTGGCCTTATGTTTTCACATTCTATAGACGGAAATATTTCATTAAATCGATAATTGATAGTTATGAGTGCCTTGGTAACATCAACAAAACCTCTCAGTATACAGAACCACTAAATATTAAAAAGAGTTCTTTCGTATGATTGAAACCTCCAGATGAATAAATATTCAGGTAAATGGAGGCATTTATATATGTATATATATATATATTCAAACTAAGTACACTTTTCCACATTAATTTGTTTATTAGATGTATCATACAGTGAAACAGTATTATTTACTGGATGACTATGTTTCGAACACAATTTATTGTTCATAATCACATCAATCATAATCACCCAACTTCGAAAGTTGAGTGTTACAGTATTCTTTATTCTTTCCTATTCGTCATCGAAGTGGTAGTAGAATTTTCCAGATATCTGAGACAGGTGTTGAATCCTTCCTATTACGCTGCAAATACGTATAATCATAATTTTGCTGTATTGGTTCATCTTCTACAGACAGACGAGGCCATTCAAATCCACCTGATGTTGCTGAACGCGCGCAACCTTGTTTCCCTACACTGACCATCAATGCATGAATGTTTTGAAGACTGACTATTTTCTACTTCCCCTAAGCTATTTATTGATCATCTTTGTCCTGATTATTCTATTATTTTGATTACTTCATATTTAACTGTTTATTATGTAAACAAGTCAAACACTCATTTGTGTGTTAATCATTTCCCCTTTTTGCAAATATTGCTATCCTTTAATTTGTTGACTTAATTTCCCTTGTTAATTCTCACTCCTCTAACAAGTTAGTATTGCTCCAGAGACTAGCCGGAAGTATACAGAAGACATTTTACTCAGCAGGCCTATGGTTATTATTTTTTAGTCGACGAAC